CGGCAGTGTCTAGGGAAGCCGTAATTGAGATGGGCTTCAGATTCAAAACCATCAGTAGGGGATGAACTCGAGAAAGGAGAACATGAATCTGTACTCTCTCTAGTATGTCTCTATATTATACTCGTAAAGAAGTGAATATGAACCACGAGAACATCTCTCTGTTTTTTTTTTTCAAGATGGAAAACCTTATCACAAGTTGGGTCACAACGGTCAAGCCATTCCCTCCATTCGCATCTAGTAGTCAGGTAGTAGCAACAAACATAAATTAAAGCAACTTTATTCTACACCTTTATTGGGCAGTTGAGACCACGCAGCATTTGACTTGACAGCGGCACATGTCCTGCCACCTTTTTCTCACCACGTACAACCGCTAAACCTTCATTCTTGCCTTCACAAGCAGCTGACAGGAGCAGCACCACTAAGTCTATGTTTCATGGATATAAGCATTGTCCAATCACCTTACTCCTCCTGTTCCTTCTCTTTCAAGCCTCCAGCTGCCTCCCCTCACTTCCTCCTTTCCTATACAGAATCACCTCATATCAGATGCCCTCACCCGCCCGCCAAGCTCCTATCAGAAGGCAGCAGCAGCATCGGCCCGTTGCTTGATGAGGTCTGCTCGTTGGCTCTTCCTCATTGCCTCAACCAGCCACGTCACTCCCTCCCTCACCCCCGTGCTGCTCACACACACAGCCATGCACCCCCCTGCTGCTCACACATAGCCATGCACAGAGACGGTTGTGGATGCACAGTCAGACACACTCCCTCTTTCTCTCTCACACAAACACACAGACACACACGAGCAGACACAAAGAGGCATACATGCACAGTGCCAGGGTCGCCGACAATACGATGACTCAACCTTTGTGATACTGCATCCACAAAGATTTACGATACGACGACTCAGCCTTATGCGCTGTGAGTTCGACGGGAAGTTACAGCGCAAAAAGTCACTTGGACTCAGCCTTATGCGCTGCAACTCTTCCTCTTTAGGCTCCCCACCTCCCTTCCCATCCCTTCGTAACACCACTTGCATTGCAAAAACACACCCTAAGCTGTTCCCACACCCTAACCACAACCTCCTCCCCTTTTCCACACGCTGATGCCCAACCCCCGTTTTCCCTCCTCTCCTCCCAACCATCTCCACCCGCGCCCTCCTTCTCCCACCCCCCTCCCCCACGCCCATCTCACCCATCATAAGCATACACAGGCATGACCATGAAGGAGCACCAATTAAGGTCCCTCGAGCACCCCTTTCCCCCTCCCATCCCTTCCCCCACTTCTTCCCCCCTTTTTCCCCATCCCCTTCCCTTCCCCCTACCCCCCCCCCCTCCCCCTCCTCTCACCCATCATGGGCGCACACGGGCATGACCATGGCGGAGCGCCCCTTGAGGTCCCTCAGCTCCAGGCAGTGAGTCAAGCCCTCCTCGCCCACTGCCCAGGGCAGGTCCTGTGGGGTGGTGATCAGAGGCAGGTGGGAGGGGGAGGTAGGCACGGGAGGTGAGACACTTGAGGTCTGCCAGCCATTTGAGACGAGCGGCAGCGCGGCGATTCAAGTCCTCCTCGCCCACTGCCGAGGGTAGGTCCTGTGGGGCGGCCAAAGGGGCAGGTGGGCGAAGAGGGTTGATAATGCAGGCAGAGTCAAGTCCTTCTGGTAGGTCCTGTCGGTTTGTGTTCACAGGCACGTGGGAGAGGATGTGGAGAGGGAGGTTGGCGAGGGAGGTGGGAGCGGGAAGGAAAAGGGAGGTGGGCAAGGGAGGCCGGAGAGGAATGTGTGAGGGGGTTCCGGCAGGGAGGTGTGAAGGAAGAGCGCAAGGTGGTGATAAGATTTTCCAGGCATCTGAAGGTAACTGCTGCAGGCAGTGAGTCTATCCCTCCACACCCACTGCCTCTAGTGGCAGGTACCATGCAATGGGCACAGGGAGGAGGGCAGGGAAGGTGGGAGGTGGAGGTGGGATGGAGGTGGAAGATGAAGGTTACTCCACCCCCCCCTTAATCACCATTCCATCTCCCCCACAAGCCCGAGAGGGAGGTCCGAGAGGGAGGTGGGAGGGGGAGGTTGGCGAGTGCGTCAAGTCCTACTCGCCCACTGCCTCTGGTAGGTCCTGAGGAGTGGCGGTCAGAGGCAGGTGTGAGGGGGCGGTGGTGGTGATGAGAATTTCCAGGCATCTGAAGGTACCTGCTGCAGGCAGTGAGCCTAGTCATCCACTCCCACACCTAGTCTGAAGGTGTGAGGTGGAGGTGGGAGGGACAGAGGTGCGTTAGAAGCGTGCAGAGAGGTGGCAGCGTGCAGAGCTTGGCTGCTCTCACGCAGCGACCTGATTCCTGCACACACCCACTTCCGCTGGTAGGCTTTCCTTTTAGGTGGGCAGAGTGAGGTGGAAAAGGGTTGGTTGGGACTCAAGCAGGTGTGGTGCAATACGCCCCTTCCCACACATGCCATCCCTCCCCCGCCTCCCCCCTCCCCATCATTCCATCTTTCCTCCCTCTTCCCCCCCCCTCATTCCATCTCCCCCACTCCTCACCCTACACCAGCAATATGCAGGTGTATGGCCTCCCACCTCATGCCTCCCATTCACCCCATATCAAACCCATGCCTTCCATCCCCCCCCACCCCCCGCCTCCTCCATTCCCCCCAACTGCAGAGCACCACACACCTAGTCGTACGGCGGCTGCCATCCTCGCGAGGCTCTGCTTCGATAGTGATGGAATGTGCAGGGCACACCTGGTAGACAACAGAAGAGGGTTGTTAGAAAAAAAGGTACCAACGTTGATTTTTAGGACATGGAATGGGATCTTCAGAATGCGATCTACAATGCCTGCTTGTGCTGAGACTCACCGCTCCACACAGCTTGCACGCAATGCACCTCTCCACTCCAGTCTCATAACGTCTCAAGGGCCTTGAGTCAAGGCGTGTTCACCCCTGAAACGAGCGCTTAGAGGGCTTCTTTCAAAAGGATAGTTGATCTGGCACGAAATCCACAACCACACAAGCGGATTGAACACGAGCTTGTGCTTCAGCTGGGCTAAAAAAAGATGCTGTCATCAAAGAAATATTGCTGGTGACCTTCTTGTCAAAGAAATACTTGAGTGTCATACCCATGCCACGAAACAGCTCTGTCATCAAGAGGGTGCCCATGTTCTTATCGAGAACTGCATGCATGTTCAGTGAAGGGGAGAAAGGGGCCTCTCGCACTCAGTATCATACGCACAAAGCAAAACTAAACAAGTAAGCAAGGACAACTCACGGGTGTATGAAAGAAAACCAAGGACAACTCACGGGTGCTCAGATCAGCTTCTTTCGCCACCTTCGCCGCATCCCGGGACTTCGTGGGCGTTGAATCTGCGCAGCATGTGAAGACAGCTCCTCAAAACCAACGACTATGACCAACGCTAAGAATGTCCAGAAGAAAATCGTTACCCTGTCGATGCGCTGTAGACATCAGCCTTGACCCTCTGAAGATCCTCGCACAGCTGCGTCGCTCAAGCTCTCGGCAAATCGTTCCGGAACCAGCTCTGAACGCCATGGCGAAGAGAGGGGTGTTTAGACAAGCCTGAGCTTACGACTCGATTCTCGCTCCCCGTAACCTCTCGCTCCCAGCTCGGCGGATACTAGCCGATCTTTCTTCGGAATACACTAAGACCCAGCAAGCTGAGAAAAGAAAAGAAAAGTAGAGTGCCACGTGGCACTAGAGAATCTGAGAAGATAAGGATAAGGGTGACTTGGAATGTACTGTTCGGAATGAACAGTAAACACCCCTCTAACAAAGCCGACCTTCCTTCGGAATATACGAGACGTCTCCCAACCCACGCTAACCCGAGCTCAGCGAGAAGCTCGGCCATGATCGCTCTTGGGCAGCCGTCGCGCATTTTGCGTGTGTTGCGCCAGCACACCAAGCACCACGCACAATGTCAACAAAATTGCCGTACTTGTTATTGAGTGCAGGCATCAATGAGAGTTGTCTTTCAACACCACACACACTGATATGGACTTATCTGCTTGCGCTTTCATAATCCTTACTGGAGAAAAGGGAACAAGGCTGCACAATCAAGTGCGATATACAACTTCTATGATTTCAAACTGAGCATACCAAAACCTAATCCCTCGTACATATATCATACGTGGTTATCTTGTGTGTGTGTCAAAATAGAAGGCACCTTGCCCAATTATATCACAGTATGTAAAATCTGACCAGCACCAAAATCAGTATAATACCACCTCATCTACACTCTTCTGCACAGCATGCACACTGGAAGAGAAAATATACATTTTTAGACATTGACAGCCAATATACATGAGTTAGTGCACCTAACCTAATACTCCTAGAAATTATATTATACAAGATTGCACACAGCTACCGTATTACCCCGGATATAAGCGCACCTGCGCTTATAATAAAACGTGTTTTTTTGGGGGGGTGCGCTTATAATTGAGTAAAAAATATAAGCGCATGCGCTTATATAATGACTAATAGACATATATATTCAAAAGGCACGAAATTGTACATCTCCTTCTTGCAACTTCAATCGAATCGATTTTTTTCGCGTCACAGATCGGAATTGTGCGCAGTCGATACTTTGCTGGTGCACATGGGCAAAATTACTCGTCAGACTGCTGGAATGCCAGCTCATACTGACTCGACGAGCAAAAAGTGAGGTCGCCAAAGTCAATCGACGCGAAAATGGTTGTGACCTCGCTGTAAAATTGGATTCCGTTACCGTTTTAATCAATATTTAAAGCCCTATATCGAAATTAGACATGCGCTTATAATAAGTCAGGGTTTTACAGGGGGTGCGCTTATAATTGATGATCGGGCATAAACGCAGTGCTCCAGATAAAAGCGCATGCGCTTAACATAGGCCTGCGGTTATATCCGGGAACATATGGTATCTAAGAGAGTGTCTCTTAGAGACAGCGACTCTACTAGTCATTGGAGATGATTCTGTTCTGTACCTCCACAGATAAATATCTCCTTGTGCTTTTTTCTGTGGCGCCAGCAGCTTCAAGACCTCCAAAGAGGTCTTGCTGCTGCCTTGGTGGTGCTGCCAGCATTGCTCCTCCCTCTGCACTTCACAGCGTGCTCTCTCTCCTGCTGCTGCCTCATGCTGCTTGCTGTGGGCTTCTGGTGGGCTAGAGCACCCCCACGTGCATTCCATGCCTTCCCCTCCACACCGCCCAACTTCACACGCGCTCCTGTGCTGCCTGCCTTGGGAATCCGCCAGGGCAGCACCACTCTAAGCAGCGGCAGCAGCAGTGACGCGAGCAGCAAGTGCAGCTGCAGCAACAACAGCAGCGAGTGCAGCAGCAGCACAAGGGAGGCTGGCATTGCGATGGGGCTGGCGTCACCACCGTCCATCCTCACGTGCTTCTCACAACTCGTGTCGTTGCTTCTGACAGAAAAGCTGACGGAAATCGTCTCCTTGCTGTCGTTGCTGCCAGCGCTCGTTTGGTCGCAGTCACTCTTCAGATCCTCCTCCGTCTCCTCTTCCTCTGCAGCAGGCGCGGAGCTCAGCGTCACTTGCAGCTGGGTCGATTCACAAGTCAAGATCTCCTTGGGAATGGCATGGGAAGTCGACTCCGAAGGCGACTCAAAAGCGGACTCCACAATTGCTTCAACTTCAACAGTTGGCTCACAAGGCGCCGCGCATGCAGTCGCGCAGCTCAGCGTCACTTCAACTTGCGCGCGGGACGGCTTAACCGCTTCGCGGCTCCTCCAGGCGCGCAGCGCTTCCACGAACGACGGGTACTCAGCGGACGACGAGGTGCATGCACGCACGGACGCGACGGCCATCCGAGAAACTGAGAGGTGAGACTGGCGACGATACTCGAGTGAAACGTTAGTACCGAGAGCGTAAAGCTTTCGATGGATGAGAGCTTAGGATAGCTGAAGCTGTGGGAACTCGAAACTCAGCTGAAGTATTGAAACTTAGAGCGACGAATGAGGGTGAGTAGAGGGAGTGCGGATTTAAACTCGCAGAGGCGATCGCAGGCGACGAGGGGAGAGCGAGAGGGTTGCTGCGACAAGGCGGGGTGGAGGAGAAGCGACGCACTGGGAACTCACGCAGCGGGCAGGAAAGGGCGGAACGAATCTGTGCGCTGTCGGTGTGCGGAATGGCCTGGGAACGAAGCTACTTCCGAGGCAATGCCAAGTCTCTGGCCGAGGCCTCCGGAGATGTGACAGATCGGTTCAGTCCGGTTGCTTCGTTTGAGGAGACGGTGAGGCTCGTACTGTCGAAACAAACCTGCTGGCTAAGCGATTATGCAGGAAGGAGTTGCTAAGCGATTCGCACTGGGGACTCAAGGAGCGGGCAGGCACGGGCAGAACGAACATGTGCGCTGTCGGTGTGCGGAATCTCATGCGGATTCGCGAAACGCCAAAGGGAATGAAGCTATTTCCGAAGCTATCTGGCCGTGGCGTCCGTGGACCTGTCAGAGCAGTGCAGTCCGGTGGCTTGCCTGTCGAGAGAATCAGGCAAGGTTGAGTTCACTATGGAGAGTTTGGTACAAATAACACAACCCTAAAGTGTTATCTCCTACAACCCTACCAATATATATCACACATATATATCATTTGACACACCCCCATAGGCAAAGTGGGGGAGAGCAACGGGTCACAAGACCAGTCAAGAGAAGCAAAACAAGCTCAGGGTGGATCACAACGTCACCACACATTCTGAGCACAAGCAAATGGCCACAAGGCCAGTTCACATGCAGAGATATATATGAAGCAATGACAGTACAGTGATGGCTACCTAGCAAGAGCCAGCATACAGGTATATATGTATATAGATCACAGTACAAGCAAAGACTACAGCAAGTGTGGAAGCGTAGGCACAAGGCCTAACAGAGTACAAAAGCGCTGATGATCACCAGACGGAAGTGCCTTGGTGAATATATCAGCAGTGTTGGCCCGAGTGGCCACGTAACGAAGACAAAGCTGGCCTCGCTGCTGCAACTCTCGAGCCAGGAAGTAACGCAGAGCAATGTGCTTCGTTCTATGCTCCAGTCTGTGCTCCTCACACAAGGCAATGGCGGCCTTGTTGTCAACGTACAGCACTGGAGGAGAACGAGGCTGCTCTCCCAAGTCAGTCAGCAGGTAGGTGAGCCAGCGTAACTCCTGTGCAGCCATGGCGGTGGCGTAGATCTCAGCCTCACAACTGGAGCCGAGAACTGAAGACGAGCGTGTAGAACGCCACGAAACTGAACCAGAGCCAAGGCTGAAGGTGTAACCCTGTGACGACCGCTGAGTAGCCAGGTCGTCAACCCAAGAAGCGTCTGAGTGCCCAGTGAGTACAACCTCACTCGTCCCTCCAAGCACTAGCCCCATGCCTGATGTGCTGCACAAGTAGCGCAGTACCCTCTTAGCAGCAGCCATGTGCTCAGGTCGGTGTCGACCAGGAGCCACGTAGCGAGCGAGGAGACCAAGAGGGTACGCGAGGTCAGGTCGAGTGCAAGTCATCAGGTACATGAGGCAGCCGACTAGCTCTGGGTAAGGACCACTCGGCTCTACGGACTCGTCCGAAGGTGGAACTGAGAGCGAGTGACCTGTAGCCAGAGGAGTGGCCTGTGCTGAAGACCAGGTGAAGCCGAAGCGCTGAAGGACCTGCTGCACCATGTGTGACTGAGTCAAGGTGATGGTGCGGCGTGCTCTGTCCCGGGTGATCTGCAAGCCAAGGTAGCTGCGCAGCTCACCCAAGTCTGTGCACGTGTGTCTCTTCTGCAGCTCCGACTTCACGTGGGCGAGAGCCTCAGTGTCAGCAGTGGCAAAAACCAAGTCGTCGACGTACACGAGGATGTAGAACGGCGGCAGTGAAGTGTCGGTGCGCAGAAACAGCGACGGGTCAGCAGTAGAAGGCGCAAACCCAAGAGCCGCAAGCGTAGTCCTCAGTGTGTCGTGCCACTCACGTGGCGCCTGGCGGAGACCGTAGACCGGCCGCCGGAGGCTCCACTGGGTGCCAGGAGGGAACGACCCAGTGAAGCCCGGGGGGCGGCGCAGCCAGATCTCCTCGTGCAGGCTGCCCTGCAAGAAAGCTGTGCTGAAGTCAAGAGAGTGAAGCTCGTAGTCACACTGAGCAGCAACGTGCAGCAGCACCCGAAGAGTGGTCATCTTCGGGGTGGGGGAGAAGGTCTGGAAGAAGTCAACTCCCTCTCGCTGACTGAAGCCTCGAGCCACGTAACGCGCCTTGAAGACAGGCGGAGAACCCGGCGGCCGCTTCACCCTGAAAATCCACATGCCACTGACGATGTTCGCCCCAGGTGGGGGAACCTCGTCGACATAGGTGCCTGTGGACTTCCAGGAAGCCATCTCTGCGTCCATGGCTGCCTGCCACTGAGAGGAGTAGGGACTCTCTATCGCCTCTGCGTAAGAGCGCGGAGTCGGGATGTCTGGTGCATCCGGGTCTCCCTCAGGGGCAAGTAGCGAGGACACAAGATGAGGTAAAGCAGCAGCAAGACACTGGAACTCCTCCTGCCTGTCCTCAAGGACGTCCGTGCTAAGAGCACACTCACCCCCGACGGACGGAGGACAGACAGACGCAGACTCAGCAACAAGACTGGCGGCGTAGTCTAGACGACAGGCAGCAGCAAAGTCAACAAGCTCAGCGACAAGAGCAGACGCAGCAGTAGACTCAAACGACGGGTCAGTGACAACAGTGGCTAGCAGACGCGTGACAGTAGGGTGGTCAGCACGAAACCGGTCAGACTCAGGGTCTGGAACGTCAGGTAGAGAGGACGCAGGAGGAGACGGCAGAGGAACAGGCTGCAGAGCAGAGGAAGGACGACGAACTACGAGGTGTGCGCGGGGGACAGCCGGCTGACGCGAACGAGGAACACGACGACCGGTACGACCAAGACGAGCAGGCGAGACAGGACGCGACACAGGCTCACGACGCTCAGCAGGACTACCAGTCTGCTCAGTGTAAGGAGAAGGAGCAGGCAGCGGTGAGCCAGGCTGTAACGGAAGACCAGTAGACGACGGGAGAGTAAGAACCTGACGAAGAACAGAGTCAGACGGCGGCAGAGACGACGGAGACGGCGGAGCGAAGAACCGTCGTGTCGGCGCAGCTGCACCAGGAGCGGCAGCTCCAGCAGCTCGAGTGCCTCCAGCAGCTCCAGTACCTCCAGCAGCTCCAGTACCTCCAGCAGCTCCAGAAGCTCCAGTCCCAGAGCCGACACCTCCAGTCCCAGGGTCTCCACCCTCTGTGTCTCCAGCAGTAGCACCCCCAGAACCAGCACCTCCAGTCCCAGGGTCTCCAGCCTCAGTGTCTCCAGCAGCAGCACCCCCTGAGCCAGCACCTCCAGTCCCAGGGTCTCCAGCCTCAGTGTCTCCAGTACGAGCACCTCCAGAACCAGCGACTCCAGCACCTCCAGTAGACAAAGGTCCAGCACCACTCCTAGCTCCAGCAGCGCGACGCTGACGGTGACCGTACCAGTCCTGCAGCTGCTGTGGGGTGAGAGGCACCCGTGGACGAAGGCGGCTACTCCAAGGAGACCGCGCAACAGCAGACTCAGAACCCTCAGCGCCAGCACCCCCAACTGCTCCAGAACCTCCAGCGTCAGCACCTCCAGGCTCCACACGCGTAGGCTCAGTACCCGCAGACTCGGCACCCGCAAGCTCAGCACCTCCAGGCTCCTCACGCGCAGGCACAGCACCCTCAGACTCGACACCCCCAAGCTCAGCACCCCCAGGCTCAGCACCTCTAGGCGCCTCTCGCTCAGGCTCCGCACTCCCAGGCTCAGCACCCCCAGAGACAGCACCCCGAGTAGGACCACCTCCAGCAGGACCTGAGTCACCAGTGACCTCAACAGGCGCAGGTACCGGGGGGTCTACCTGAGAAACACCTGAAGGAGCAGGACCTGGCGCGGGGAGGGGGTATACCTGGGGAGGACCTGGAGCGAGAAAGAGCGGCGGGGGGGGGCGAGAGGCAGTGCGGTAGGGAAAGAGACGGTAGAAGGGAACAGACTCGTCAAAGGTGACGTCCTGAGACGCAAAGACACGGCGCGAGGTGGGCTCGTAAAACTGCCAGCCAGGCGCGTCAGGAGGAAAACCAAGGAAGACGCAGGGAATGGCGCGAGCAGAGAGCTTGTCCGCGGTGAGATCGCGGACAAAGGCACGAGCACCCAGACCCGGAAACGCGACGCATCGCCAACCTCCCCCGTCCACAGCAGCGTGGGCGAGGTCTCCGGCAAGGAGACACGGGGCCAGAGGTTGAGCTGATGCGCGGCGTACCGGACCGCGAACGGCCACAGAAAATGGGGAGCCGCCGCATGGATCATGGAGGTACGAGCGACCTCCATGACTAAGCCAATGCGGCGCTCAGCAACCCCATTCTGCTGCGGAGAGGCCGGAAGCGTGAACGACTGGGTGATGCCGTGCTCCGCACAGAAGGCTGCCAAGAGGTCAGAGGAGAACTCACCACCTCTGTCAGAGTGCAGACGCAGGACAGGAAAGTCCCGCTCGAACCGCTCGCGGAGCTGGAGACGCACAGCGCGGATCCAGGGGATCAGAACAGCAGGGACGTCTCCCTTGCTGCGCAAGGGGAAGACCGTGGTGTAACGCGTGTAGTCGTCGACAACCAGCAGAAAGTACCGCTCACGGCCCTGTCCCTGGACGCGGGCTGGGCCCCACACGTCCAGGTGAAGCGTCTGCAGGGGAGCCTCTGTGGGAGGAAACGAGGAGGAGTGAGGAGCGGCGCGCTGCCGCCCCTCGACGCAGGGAATGCAGGGCGGCGCAGGCGAGGGAGGGAGGGCAGGCAGAGACCTGGGAAGCCCAGAGACCAGAGCGAGGGTGCA